CCCAGAGACATACCACTTTTACAATGAACTGCATGCAATTCTTGGCAGCAACTCCACCACTACCCCAAAACACAGTGTGGATACCTCCCAGGAGTCTGAGTCCCAGACCACCTCAGGCAACAAAGAGGACACTGTGGATGAGGAAGATGAGGAGGAGGAGGAGAATGGGTGACAGAAGAGAGGTGGATCCATTCTCTCCGACAGCCAAGACCTGTTCTTAACCCTGGAGCCCATCCCTTCACAGGACCAAGTGGTGGCCCAGGGTGATGCCGGGGAAGGCACCTCTGGTGAGTATACATTTCCAATCAAACTGTAGTGGGTACATTCCATTATATTATAGGTTTAATCTGAAAAAAAGAAGGTTGGGCACTGGGTATCTGCTTGCCAGTGAACGCTCCACCTATGCTGTGGGTGCGCCCCAGAAAGACTGCTTATGTGCATAGGGATGACATGGGAATCCTCTATTATGAAAGTTTCCTAGTGATCTCAGAGGTACTCTGCAATCCTCTGCAGAAGGTTTCTGGGGAGGGCTGCCTTATTTCTTCCACCACAATAGGACACTTTCCCACACCACTCCATTATTAACTCTGCTGGCATCATTGCAATACACAGCATAGCAGAGTAAGGATCAGGTCTGTACGCAAACGCTTGCAGCATCTCCTCTCTTGCCATCTCTGTTACCCTCAGGAGACAGATATCACATAGGATCACCTAAGGGAAATGGGGGAAGTTTTCAGTGCAAGTACATGAATCGCAAACAGAACAAATAATCCACCCCCCTTTGGTGAAATCCGGGTCCCACAACCACACTTTCCCTAACATGCCATGGCTGTTGTTGACAGGGACCAAAGTGTATTACAAGCAGCATTAAGAAAAGGTGGGGAGAGCTTCCTGTGTCTGTTCTCCCCTTCCCACCCTCCCCCCGGGCCACCTTGATTAAAAAAAAAAAAAAAAAAGTGGGAGGCTTAACACTGGTGCCTGTCCTCAAGTACTGTCCATGTTGCTAGGGGGAAGGGGTTATTGCTCAACTGCCCAACTGTGCTCCTGACAACGGTTTTACAGAAGTAGCAGCACAAGACCTGTTGCCCATGCCTTATAGCCATACTCACCATGGCTGGAGCAGCAAACCAACTCACGCAATAGCTAGGGATTCTGAGTATATTGTTGTTTGCAGTGAAGTATATTAAGGGGTGTTTTTTTGTTTTGTTTTTTTAAAATCAGCCTTGCTCCAGAAACGATATATGCACTGACAATGGTTACCTTGTGCTTTGTATGCCTTACAGATGAAAGCTTGTCCTTCGGTTAATCCTCCACACTGGGAGAGAGGCTTTCCCAGATTAGAAAGCAGAAAAAGAGGACTCGGGATGACATTTTCACCGAGATAATCAACACCTCTGGGACAGCCAAGGCTGAGCTCAGAACATGGAGAATTTCTCTCCCCGAGAAACTAAACATAGACAGCAGAAGTGCATCCCAGGAGCAGGAGTGTGCCACGCAGGAGGAGATGCTGCGGATTATGAGGGCCAATCAGACATGTTGGAGCGTCTGGTTGAGCTTCAAGAAAGGCAACACAACGCTAGACTCCTTGCAGCCAAGAAAACAGATCAAGAAAAATATGCTCTTTATTTATTCAACACATGGTTGGTTGGTTCATTTTACAGAAGGGGGGAAAAAAGTAATGGGGAGATTGGTTTGGGAAGGAACAATGCAGGTAAGCTTCACACATTACTGTGGCTCATTGCTGAAATGGGTTTTCAAAGCCTCACAGAGACGCAGAGCCGGTCTCTTATTACCGTGGTATCTGTCTGCTCAAAATCAGCTGCCAAGCAATTGGCCTCAATCACCCACCCCAGGGAAAACTTTTCTCCCTTTGTTTCACAGATATTATGCAGCACACAGCAGGCAGCAATAACTATGTGAATACTGCTTTCTCGGAGGTCTAACCTACTAAGCAAACAGAGCCAGCAACCTTTTAAACGTCCAAAGGCACATTCCACCACCATTCTGCACTTGCTCCTCCTATTGTTGAGCCACTTCTTACTGCTGTTCAGTCAGCTAGCGTATGGCTTCATGAGCCATGGGAACAAAGGATAGGCTGGGTCTCCCAGGATCACAGTTGGCATTTCAAAATCAACAATAGTTATTTTGTGGTCTGAAAAGAAAGTTCCTGCTTGCAGCTTTCTGAAGAGACTTGAGTTCCTGAAGATGCGCACATCACACATCTTTCCTGACCATCCGACATTGATATCAGTGAAACGCCCCCTGTGATCCACCAGCTCTTGCAACACCATTGAAAAGTATCCCATTCAGCTTATGTACTCTTTGGCAAGGTCTTCTGGTGCCAAAATAGGGATATGCATGCCATCTATCGCCCCACTACAGTTAGGGAACCCCATTGCAGCAAAACCATCCACTGTGATTGCCCAGAATCACTACCCTTCTTAGCAAAAGTCAATTAATGGCCCTGCAAACTTGGATCACAACAACTTCCACAGTGCATTTACCAACTCCGAATTGATTCCCCGCTGACCAGTAACCGTCTGGCATTGCAAGCTTCCATGGAGCGATAGCCACTCGCTTCTCCACTGTCAAAGCAGCTCTCATTTTAGTACTTCTGCACTTCAGGGATGAGAAAAGCTCTGCACAAAAAGTTCCTGGAAAGTGTCTTCTACATTTGAAAGTTCTGCAGCCATTGCTCGTCATCCCATAGCTGCACAACCATGCAATCCTAGTCAGTGCTTGTTTCCCTGGACCAGAAACGGCGCTCAACCATGTTCACCTGATGTGCAACTGCCACCAGCAACTGCAAACTGTTTTGCTCTATGGCTTGCAGAAGGGCTGCTTGTATGACATTGCAATGTTCCACGTGGCAGCTCCTGTCTCAGCTTCAGAAATACTGCAGGTTAGGGGGATCAGGTGTTTGTAATGCTAACACAACTGCACAGCTGAGCAGGGTCCATGTTGCTCAGGCTATGGGGTATGCGCAGCTAAGCCAGGCTTTCAAAAAAAAAGGTACAAAAAACCTTGTTTAGTTTGCCGTAGAGATCAGGGAAAGGAGGGAGGAAAGTGCATCATGGGAGACCGAACTCATGTTCCCATTACCACCCATGACAATGTTTTGGTCCCATGAGGCGTTGCAAACCCTACCCCAAATCCCATTAGTCTAGTTGAACTGTGGGATAGCTATGCACAGTGCACTGCTCTGTGCATCATTGCAAGCGCTGCTAGTGAGGACACACTTCACCAAGACAATAAATGTGTTGTACACATGCAAGATTGACTTAATTAATTTGAAGGCTCGATGTCAACTTACACAAAATAGACTTCACTTTCTAGTGCAGACATGATCCAAGATGTGTAAACTTACTGTTCTCATTTTTTAAAAAGGAAGACTGTTCTAACCATAAGAGATGACACAAGAGATGTCCATCGTTTGAGAATGAACTGCAGTATCTTGAATGACGGAAGACTTGCTACCTCATAACTATGAGAAGTCTTCACAAAGTATTTTATGTTACAAGTCTATTTAGACACACAAACCAACAAATTTAAGTGACAACGGCTAAGCTAGTCTCAGAACATGAATTATATACTGTTATGAAGGAGGTGGGAAAGGGTTTTCACCACACATTTGCCCTGAAAGGGTTAATGAAGACAAAGAAGGGGGCTAATTAACCCAACAGGCCATTAGGTGAGAAGTATTAGGTGACTAAGTAATCCCTGAATGAGGGAGGGAGGGAGCCCAGCTGAGGAGGAATGAGCTGGGTTGGGCTATAAAGGCAGGAAACTGGCAGCAGAAAGGAGCTGCTGGGCAAGTCTGTAGTCACTCCCTGGGAGAAGGGAGGTAGGACAGGACTCAGGGAAAGGCCCTAAGGTCTAAGAGGGAACAGACCTTGACTGCTGGCTAGAGGGTCTCTCATCCGACACCTGGAGTAGAGGGCAGGCCTGGGTTCCCCAGCCAGACACTGAGGAACTATGAGGAAGGCTCCCTGAGTCTGTTTATTTATGGAAAAGACTTTCCAACCCCAGCAGGTGAAACCATTTGGTGACCTGGCTGGAGGCAGAGTCACGAAGAGGCAGCAGCAGATTGCAGAGCGAGAGAGGTTCTGCAGACCTACATAGAGAGGTGGAAGGATGACATGCAACCGCGGGAACGGGTATCAACCTTGCAAGCTATTCCCCAGAACTAGTAGGAGGAGACACCATCTTGGCGGTCACTGGAGCTCTCCAGCAGAGGGTTTTTTTTTTTTTTTTTTTTTTTAAAGTACAAGATAGTATTAAACACTATTTTAGCAAGCCATGCAGCCCTAACAGGTTAACCCAATTTTTGCACGCCTTAAATGTGATTACTACATTCATTATGTGGTTTGCCTCAGACAGTTATAACTAGTTGCCCTATGACGAAACAGCAATTGGTACAGAGTACAGCAATTTAAATCCAATGACCAATACTGACATTTTTACTGGGTGCATCTAGACCAGGGGTAGGCAACCTATGGCACGTGTGCGAAGGCGGCATGCAAGCTGATTTTCAGTGGCACTCACACTGCCCGGGTCCTGGCCACTGGTGCAGGGGGCTCTGCATTTTAATTTAATTTTAAATGAAGCTTCTTAAACATTTTAAAAACCTTATTTACTTTACATAAAACAATAGTTTAGTTATATAATACAGACTTCTAGAAAGAGACCTTCTAAAAACATTAAAATGTATTACTGGCACGCGAAACCTTAAATCTGAGTGAATAAATGAAGACTCAGCACACCACTTCTGAAAGGCTGACGACCCCGATCTAGACATATCATAGACCAGTAACCATTTTTTCCAGTTTAGCCAGATTTTATCAGTTATATTTTAGCTTTTCATTCAAACTGGCAGTATTAAAAACTGTTTTTAATGGAGAGACTGTCTAGCAGCAGTGAAGATACGCTAATGTTAAAGTTATGGAAGATATTGGGTTAGTCACCAAACACAGCAGAAGCAAAACTTTAAGTAGTCTTACCATATCATCTGTCAGTGTCTTGATATTTAAATGCTGTAAATTAAGGAAAAAACAGTCATGTCACTACCTTACTTGTAACAGTGTGTAGCGAGGCGGTGGGATACCCCACAGCCTCGCTAAGGGCCGAACCTCCCCTAACACCAACGGGGGCAGAGCCACCGGGTCCGGAGCCCGCCCCTCAGAGGTCACGGCGCCGACCCGGAAGTATAAAAGCCCGCCTGCCGAGCTCAGTGGAGAACAAGCCGGCGGAGAGAGCAGACGTCTGTGGCCAAGCTCCTGCTTGGGAGACAGCAGCAGGCCGCGACCAGCCTGCTGACTCATCAGGCCAGCCAAGCCTACCCCTCGCCCGTTACCCTGAGGAGGACTGGCCAAGCCTGCCCCTTTCCAGCTACCCCGAGGAGCCGCCAAGCCTGC